CAGGAAAATGGCGTGAACCCAGGAGGCGGAGGTTGCAGTGAGCCGAGATCGTGCCACCACACTCCAGCTTGGGTGACAGAGCGAGACTCCCTTTCAAAAACAAAGAAAGAACAAAAAACGAAAAAATGGTGAATACATACCACTTCCTGCTATGTTACACTATACTTTATTTGAAGACAAGGGGTCGGGACCCTGTGGACCGGCCTCAGTGGTCAGACCTGCCTCCGTTAAGAACTGCGGTGGCGTCCCATGGGCTCTGAGCCTGTCCTGGCTGTGGCCGAGGCCCTGAACTGGCAGACCGTCTTGCATCTCCCATACAGCTGTGCCACAAAGCTCGTCATCCTGCGGCCACGTGCTGTGCGTAGCAGCCTGGGGATCATGTAGGCCAGCCACACGGACCCCAGGATGCTGGAGATGAGCAGTACCATGACGACCCCGGCAGAGACCAGCTGCACGGGGAACGCTCCATACACGTAGATGCTAAAGACGGTCTCCAGTTGACAGTAGCTGCAGGGGGGTGGGGGATACAGGGAGAGGCCATTGGGCATTGCCTTTGGGGGACTTTGCCTTGTGTCTGGCAAAGGTGTTCAGACCCACAGGAGGGAAAGCCAGGCCCACAGCAGTGACCGGGTATACCCACTTCTGTTTCCATCCCATCCACTATGACTTTTTTTTTTTTTTTTTGAGTCTGAGTCTCTCTCTGTCGCCCAGGCTGGAGTGCAGTGGCATGATCTCGGCTCACTGCAACCTCCGCCTCCTGAATTCAAGCAATTCTCCTGCCTCAGCCTCCCAAGTAGCTGGAATTGCAGGCACCTGCCACCATGCTTGGCTAATTTTTGTGTTTTCAGTAGAGATGGGGTTTCACCATGTTGTTGGCTGGTCTCAAACTCCTGACCTCTAGTGATCCGCCTGCCTCCGCCTCCCAAAATGCTGGGATTACAGGTGTGAGCCACTGCACTCAGCCCACTTTGACTTTTATGGGGTTTGGTTTTGTTTTGTTTTTTGAGACGGTGGAATCTGGCTCTGTTACCCAGGCTGGAGGGCAGTGGTGCAATCTCAGCCCACTACAACCTCTGCCTCCCAGGTTCAAGCGATTCTCTTGCCTCAGCCTCCCGAGTAGCTGGGATTACAGGCGCCCACAATCACACCTGGCTAATTTTTAGTAGAGACGGAGTTTCTCCATGTTGGCCAGGCTTGCTCGAACTCCTGACTTTAAGTGATCCACCTGTCCTGGCCTCCCAAAGTGCTGGGATTACTGGCATGAGCCATTGCGCCTGGCCAACTTTTATGGGTTCTGAGTCTGCCATCCTCTCTGTGCCCTCTGGCAGCTGTCACCAGGGTCCCCATTCTCCCCAAAAGCCCAGACTCTGGCTAGAAAGGGTAGAAGGGGCAAACTAAATGGTCCATCAACAGCGGGGAAGTGGTGGATAACAGTGGAGGCTAGGTCAGGGCAGGAAAGGTTCAGGGGTATCACAGAACCCACAACGGGGAGGGGGACAGTGCAGGCCACGTGGTGCAGGGAGCAGATGCGGCAGGGGAGAGTCCCACGCCTCTCTCCTCTCTCCTGTGGACATCCTCACCCTACCCAGTGCCTTCCACCTGCTGCCACCCCAGAGCTGATCCTCCTAGGCTGGGGCCTCTAGGGAAGGCAGGACCTCCACGTGTTTTTTTTTTTTCAGGGGGTGAACTTTCATCCTTCTGGAGAGGGCAGGTGATGGGTGACAATGACTTCTAGCAGGGGTGAGGATATGAGGAAGATGCCACCTGGTGTCCCCCTCCCGAAGGGACACGCTGATCCACATGGCATGGCTTAGATGTGGCTTTATAATCTCCTGAGCACCTGTCAGTGCTAAATATTTAACAGCTGGCTCTCAGAGGGGAAAGCCCTCCTGGGTAGTGTCTACCGATTCCTGAGGTGTAAATATTTCCACTGTGGTTGATTCCAAGCCACCGACGTGCAATTGACCCATGGAAGATTCCTGAATTT